CTTCTATGGAGTCTGCCAGTTTCTACAGTAGCCCAGAATGGACAAACCAAACACTGGCTCTAGATAGGGAAGCTCAAGTAACTTGTTTACTGATGAATTTTAACTTCTGAACAGGATTTACCACAAGTTGCTTGGAAAATATATTATCTGTACACTTATGTGTTGTACATCACAGTTTGAATAATTTCATTCAAACAAACTGAACTACAGGTAGAAATGGCCAAGACATCATTTGAATTACTTCAAACAGGCCTTGTGTGAATGCACCCCAAACTATACATTCAAATGTCACTGAAGGGCTACCACACTGTGCAAATGCTACAGTAACATAGTTTAACTAAAGGCAAAAGTAAATGTAAAAGCAGGCAACAATCAACAAACATGTACACAGTAGATGAGAGGATTTGGGTTGTAGACATCTGCATTTCATAGGTGACCATGCATTTTTGGGTTCTGGGTTTCACTAATCGGAAAAAAAGTTCAGGTGAGGATTTGAAAGGATAGGATTTGGAAGGTGAGGACTTTGAAAAGACAAAAGGAAAACATGAAGGAGTGATTTTTCTTTCAAGGTTTCAGATTTATAGAGAGGGAGTGACTATACTGCTCAGAGTAGGGTGACACTTCACACAGACGGGCTACTCTGTGATGTTTTAGTAAAATTTGTGCTGCTGTTGAATAAAAACCTTATATCTCTGACAGCCAAACAGCTGGATATCCCCACTGACTTGTGAATTTTTAACAACATGTGCTGAGTTAATTTAAATTGCTGGTGCTGTGACTGGGACAAATGCCTCTGTTGTAACTGGTTTTCCATCAAAGTCACTGGCAGTCCAGAGGGAATAACCTCTGTAAATAATGCTAGAAAAGAAAACATGGTTCAGTTTCATATTCGATTGCTGAAACACAGCAATTTGATATTCTATATATATAAACTAACAACCTTTATACAGTAGCTTGTCGTAAAAGCCACCTTTGGGTAAATGAATTAGAGGAAGATATCTGAAAATAGAGGCATTTAGAACAATTTACACTGCAATTACAAACAGCCAACTGTGTGTTTGGTAATACATTGCCAGAAACAGACAGAAGTTTACCCCCCTCCTCTTTTAATGAGTGCTGTCATGCTGATGCACAGCTCAATTAAAAACTAAAGAGAAAACATGGAATAAACTTCTCTAGAGGAACATCTAAGATAATTTTCAAGAAGCTGTGGATGGTATTATTGCAACTTGGAACTCTTTTGGATGATTAAAGTTAGGGAAACAGGGCATACCTCCAGAATACAATCATACAGGGAATGCTGTTAGCTGTGGTAAAACATACACTTAATTTAAACTTGGCACTGTTACCTTTGCACAGATAATAGCCAATATTTTGTGTACCGCATTTAGCTGTCTTTATGTTTGCATCCTGGGTATTGATCCTGATAATTATTTCAAGGTGATATCAAATATGACCTTATAATGCCTCTGAAAGGCTTGTTAAGCATCATCATCAAACTGAAGTCCAATGTTTTCTTTCACTTCAGTTAATTGCTCTTTTACATCAATAAATGTAAGTCATGTTTTTACAACAACATCACTAAGTAGCCGTTCTATATGAAGTGTTTACTTCATCAATTATTCCTCTGCATTAACACTAAGTAAGTGGGCTGTTTTGAAGTTCTCAGGGCTTGAATAAGTCAGAGTGTCTGTTTGGACCGTCTACAACAGGGGTGCACAACTCCAGTTTATGGGTGACACATTAAAGGTGAAGTATATGGATAAGGAACAGTGCCAACTACTAGCTGCAAGAGCTGGGTAAGGTCAGCTCAGAGCACAGAAGAAGATTTTTGTACCCTGGTTTGCTGTATATGCTAAATACTTCTAGTTCTGGTCTGCCTGATTTATATTTGAAATGAAACACCTATTAATGCAGAACTATGGCTGTATATCAGGTAATTAAAATAAAACCATCACTACTATTTTGATTAGCTGCTGTGATTAACTATATTCAAGACATATAGTCACAACTATTTGTGAAGGGATACAGAATAAAAAAAACTCACTTCCACAAAATCAACTCAAGGCTACAGGTTGACTGAAATCTTTGGACAATTAATTTAAAGCAATTAAAAACTCCTTTTGGGTAAAAAAAATCATTCTCCTATTTCACTTCCCTTTCAGTTCCTTTTGCTGATTACACGTTACCTGAATGAACAAGATTAAATCTGTATTTCAAGGAAATATTTGAAACTTTTCTCGAAGTGTCAGAAGTTTCACTTTCACCCTAAATTGGTTTGAATTGGCTCTGTATGAACTGGCATTAAAGGGCTCTTAACAGGGCATTCGTGTACGTAAATACCCCAGCTCGCAAAATACTTCATCCATACGTCTTTCTGACATTGCAGTGGTGCTCCAGGAATTACTAGTCTAGTTACGAAAATTATCTTGAGATATCTATCACATTAAGGCTGAAAAAGTTTTAGTTAGACCCAAATCAGTGATAATTGGTGTCCACACGTTAGCCAATTAGTTTGTAGCTAGAAGCAGTCATAGATTTTAATGAGGAACACCACAGTTTTTTGCTCTCGGGATAGTGAAACACCAACCTAGACTGCTGCTACGACCTTAAAATAGTTTAGCCAAGATAACATTAGGGGAAAATATTAACAAATGACTTTCAGGTATTAGTATCAATAATCCTTTATAATGTATCCTGATTATTATTAGAGCCTATATATCAGAAAGGCCATTTACATTAATTCATGTTTTGTTGGGGTCAATAAAAACTGGATGAAAGTATTAGGTGCAGCATTAGCGCTAAAATGTTAAGTCAATTAACTGAATTGATAGTAAATCAATCAGAATCTGTATTGGTTTTGTTTAATTATCCAAGTCATTTTTTGCAAAACATGGTTAAACATGGACTTATTGTAACCTTTAATCTTCTGAGAGGATTTGCTGCTTTTCTTTGACTATGTGACTTTCCTTGTTTTTGACAGTTGGTTGGACAAAACAAGCAATCATTCATTGAGAAAATAAAGTAAATATTGAGATTAATCAATAATGAAAATAACCGTTAGTTGCAGCCCTGTACAGTAAATCAAAGCCCCTGAGGAGGGAGTTGTGCATCCCTGCTCCATCATTATTTCCTCAACTGTTAGTTGAAATTACAATGCAGGTGCCTAGTCAAGTCATGAGCCAAGAGCATCACCATCAATGTCATCATCATCATCATCATCATCATCATCATCATCATCATCTGCAGCCAAAGACGATGGAACCAAATCTGTAGTCACACAAATCTAACCCCAACCTAACCAGGGGTAAAGTGGTAAAGAATGAAAAATAACAACGGTAACAAAACTCAAATTTAAACCAAAAAAAAAGAGAGATATATATTAGGCCAATAAATAAACAAAACAGCCAAAATAAGCTTTCAAGAAATTAATAAAAATCTACATTGGTTCCACAATGCTTGACCGCATCCTCATCACCACATGAAGAACAACACGGTTGCGTGGGGCTGCGGCGTCAGCCTCTACATCGACAATACAATAATCTACAGCACCACCACCATTACCCCACCTATATGGGAGCCTCTAAATCCTACCCCTATATCTTGACCCCCTCGGAGCCGTACACGTTGTACCCCTCCCTATAAGTGGCTAGATTCTGGGTGCTGGGGGAGGGGCTGGGGCAGTGGGGGGGGCTAAGGTCCACCTTCATGCGCTTGGCTTCGGCCCGTGACTTGTAGCAGAACTCGACCAGGGCCACCAGCATGGCCAGGCCCAGGCCGCCCACAAGGATGTAGAAGACCCCGGCCACGTTAGACAGGCTCAGAGCCTGGGATGACTTGTCCTGGAGAGAGGGAGAGAGAGTGGGACGGGGGTTTCGGGGAAGAGCCAGGGACGAGGAGAAGAAAGAGTCGAGGTATAGAAAGCAGCAGAGTGGCAGAGTGGAAAGAGAAGTAGTCAATGGGGAAAGAAACAAAACAAAAATTGACGTAAAAAGGAAAATAGAAAACAAAAGCGATGGAAGGAGCAGAGCAGGATTAAAATCAAGATGTGTGATTAAGAAGAGGAAAAAAGGCAGGTGTGATGGGAGAGGAGAATAATAGGAAGGAGTAGGTGGGATGTGAAGTAGGACAAAGCAAGAAAGTAGGAGGTATGCGTATGAGAAAAGAGGTGGGAAAAAGCAGACAGAAAATAGGGTACAGTGGGTTAGACACATATGGAGATTGTCAGTGTCATTTAGTGACAAAATCTGGTTATACAGTTGCAAATGTATAATTCTATGCTACTGAAATTACACTTGTTATCACTTCATTATGTATTATCATACAACTACATTCTACAACTACAATTACTATCACCACAACAGCTACTACATACAGTACTACACATCTGTAACAGTCAAATACATTCTACATTTCTACAACTATAAGCTAGCGATATCAAAGCAGCTTCAATCAACATTTAATTTAAGTCAAAAAGAGAAAAGCAATCATACAGCAGGCTTTAATCTGAGCGGTGATGACATTTCACTGCAGTTTTAATGGAATTTAAAGGCTCCAGTAGTCTTAACATCTGAGAGCAGCACCCATGTTTAATATTGTGAAAATGTTCCTGTTTAAGAATTTCTTTTCTACTTTGAAACATAACAGCAACACATTTTTTTAACTGGGGAGATATAGGGTAATTTATCTGTAGCATTTAATAAAGCAAAATAGGAAATGCTTAATCTTAGTAACGCTTTATCTCACAGGTCCATCATTTTCTACAAATTTTGTAGTGAGTTTCCTGAAAATAATATTCAAACTAATAGTTATATATGTTCTAAACATAGAGAAAATGAAAAAAGTGGAGTGAGTTGTGAGCTTACATCTATGTAGTTGTTGATTTCCAGAAGAAGAATCTGTTCTACTAAAACTCCAAGTAATTAAAGATTTAGTTTGCATTTGATAGTGAGAACTTTATTCTCCATTTTTGAGTGTTCAGCTGGCCTGCTCTGCACTGAAGTAGTCATACTCTAGTAATTAATTTGTGTTAATCTAAATCTATAATTGCAAGTGAAAAAAATGCTCTTTATTTGACCTACAATTAGTACCCAATAACAGAGTACTTACAGAAAAACAGGTCGAATATTAATTAAAATATATGCACCTGTAAAATAAAGTGTTACCATGCATTACTCCAAGTTATGTGAATAAATGGATAGCATAGTCATGAGGCAAAAGCCAATAGTTGTTAACAAGTGGCTAACGCTACAGCTAAAGAAAAAGTGGTATTCTCGTCTGGTGGATGAGTTTCAGGCTACCAAAAATGGGCTAGTGTATGAGATAAAAAACAAAAACATGGAAGTGAAAATTGGCTGATGACAATCAAAATTTACATTATACTTTTAATGCTAACTGTTATGAAGATGGGATTGCCACAGATTGCTACAGAAACTGAACAAGAATTGGAGTTAATCTGATGAATATTTTCGTAAATGTGGTCCACCATCAAAATAGAGGAAGTAAAAATGTTGCAGGAGAAATCACTAAATGGACAGTTTAGTCTACTGTGGTCATTCAAAATAGGTTTAGGCTAATTGTGACATTGAGATATTGCTATTGCTAAAACAGTAGTTGCAGTAATCTGGAGCGTATTCAGGATGAGAGTTTCAGGCTAGCGTTTTGTGGGCCGCAGCGTGAGACTGACCTTACTTCCAGAGTCCTTGGGTCCACACTCTCCCTTGTCATACCACCATTTGTTTTTCAGTTTGTCTAAGACGCCTGCTTCGCTCAGTTTCAAAACTGCAAGGTTTACCGGGGTTCTTCGCGTGTAAAAATAACATAAATAACATCATAGGTCATGTTATTTTATGTTATTAGGGTATTTCACATTTGCATTGCACAGCTCAGTCATATAGAAAAGGTACTTTTGTTTATATCAAGTGACCTAGCATGGATCCCACTGAGTACATGTGTGTATGCTCGTTGAGGAGGGGCTGGGGGGAGCGAGGAGCTAAGGCGAGCTACAGACATATGAGTGGGACCCACCTTTGTCACTTCAGGTAACACACCCATACTGCCCCAGCTGGTCCTACACTTGAACCAGAGGCAAGTACTGTTAAGCCAGGAATACTGGCGCCAGGCTAACTCTGTGCTACCACTGGGAGAGTGAGAGCGAGACAGGTCTGAATATGCAGATGAGGATTTTATAAACTCTACAGACTTTGTAGGCCAGATGAAACTCCTATCTTGTTACAGGTATGATCTGTTCTTGTTGCACTCACACATGATCACATTTCACTTCCCTAATAAATGTTTTCACTGCAAAGCAACTTAGAGGTCGCTCAGTTGATCCACTACTTTGGTCCTGACTCAGAAATGTCAACAACTTAAGGATGGATTGGCATTACATTTTGTACAGAAATGTACGGTCGGCAGTGACTTTAGTTAGGGTTAGGGTTAAAAAATTTTCACATTCAGTTTTCCTACTGGATGGATTGGCACAAAAGTGTTGGAAATGGGCATCAATGGTGTCGTATTAACATATATCGTATGAACACTTATTTCTACTCGTGTGAACAAGCCTCACATTTTGTAATTCAAGATTTGATGATAACTTTCTTGCTAACTCCAGCTACTAGCACGTAAAAGATGTGCATGTCAGATGAAATGATAGTGTCACTTGCAATGATCTGACTCCAAATTAAATTAGATTTTGGAAATTATACTGGTGCAGAGTCTTCCTATTGTGTATGTGGGCTATAGTCTCTAACCTCGGACGAATCAATGAACTGGTTTTACCCCTCAATTAAGGGATTTGCTTTATTCCAAACAATATATATGATATAGTTATATGATAATAATATGAATCTAAGATGGTACTGTTATTGTATAAAACATAAGAGATACTGTAGGATTTGAAAATGAGTTAAATTACAACTCCACTAAAACATACATAAATTAACAATAATAATTTCAGGACCTTAAATTAACAACGGATTAGTATTAATGTTTGAATCTTTAACATAATATGAAACAAACTCCAAATAGAATTGTTGAAATCTGACAAACGAACAAGAGATGCAGGAAACTTTATCCTGTAGTTGCATTCTGTTGCTATCAATTATTCATCCTTCCCTCTGCCTCAAGTCAGCCTGAGCCTAAAAGAATCTGAGAGCTACAATTACACTTGGGTCTCGTTTTTCCATTAAATGTTTTAACACCCGTTTCATCTGCCATGTACTTGAGCAATAGATGCTCGGTTGTAGGAGTGATAAGGTTTTGTGTCTCTCTGTCAGTCTGTCCTCTCCCCAGAGCTGCCACTAGGGGGCAAATATTCCTGTCTTGACAGTAATTGCTCTCCTTATTTTTCCACCTATCCATCACTGAACCCTCCACCCATTACCTCACACTCTGTCCTTTCAGAGGGGCATTACCAGATCAGTACCAAAATGGTTATTATCATTAAGTGTGCTTGATTTATCTTGGCAGGCACTCACCCGCAAAGGGGACATATTTCCCTGCATGATATTGAAAATTAACAATTTTCTGAGGATTCAACATAAAATGATATAACATATTGATCTTTTAAAAAAGCATTTTGGTTTTGTTCTGGGTCTCTAAAAGGCACAGCCAATTGATTTCTTTCAAAAATTACCTTATTTTAGGGTTTTCTTTACCAGGAAAATAATATTCTCTTCTTCTGTATCCCAGCAAGCTCAAGTGTTGCACCTTTGTCACTGTGTCTGAACCTTTTATGCAAAAAAGGCACACACCACTGACAACAGATGCAACATTGTGTCTATTTTTGTGGCTGCTGGGTGTCTCAGGAGATTTTAGGGTGTCACTTTTGGCCTTCCTTTTTGCAGCGTGACGCTTTGCCAGGGCAGATGCATGTGTTACGCTCCCAGGACGGGGGCTGTCGCGGGCTGCCTAGCCGGTGAGTGGCCCCCGTCCCCCTAGTGGTGGGGTGGGCAGACAGAGAGGGCTAACCTTGGAATCCCCTCCCCCGCTGCCACATTCTCCTTTGTCATACCACCACTTGTTTTTCAATTTGTCCAACAGGCCCTGCTCGTTGAGCTTTAGAACGGCCAGGTTGACCGCGTTTCTTTAAGTAAAAAAGGAGGGACAGATAAGATAGTTTGGTCAGAGCAGAGGATGGAGGGACAGACAGACAAGATGGACGTGGACCACAGCCAGGAGGAAGACGGGGAGGGAAACGAAGAGGAGAGGGGGCAGAGGGGGGAGAAATCAGAGGGGTTGAAGGGACAAAGGTGGGTTAGTGGGGAAGGATGCACCCCAGACAACGCTCTCTCTTACTCTTTCTCTTTCTGCTTCTTTCTTAAAATGGATTTGAGTTCTACTGTATCTCTCCTCTGTCGCTCCCTGATACCAGACTGCACTAACAGAGGATGCTCCACAGTGAGTGTCAGATTGCTGGTATAAACTGTGTTAACCAGGTCTCTGCAGCCTGCTGATGGTGCTCTTGTCCCCTACTGCTGCTCCCCTACCTTTCTACTACTCTGTGCGCGTGTGTTTGTGCATGTGTGTGTGTGGCTCCAGTTTCCTACAGCACTCCTGCTAACACCCCTGAAGGGATTGACCTCCAAACAAAATTCAGGGACACAGGGCTAAATATCAGGCATTCATGTGGTGTATGCACATGTATTCACCTAAGCTTTTTATACCTGGGAAGAGAAGAGCTGCAACTTTTAGTATATTATCAAAATCAACTTGCTGATATTTCAACCCCACTTGAAATTGGTAAATCACTTGTCTTTTGAGACAGCTTTTACCGTTGCCTTGTGGTGCAGCTGATTGCAAAGGATTTTTAAAAGGTTTTAAAGGTCGTTGCTTTATCAAAAGCTTCAACATTCAACACTTGACAATTGGCCTATTAACAAAAGCATTCCATCATTTTCTTGATACCCAGGTTTGCTTTGATATCTTTAAAATAGATTTTTTACCAACAAAGCATACCATGTGAATGCTATTCCCTTAACTCTCAGATCTCAGATTTTAGTGTTAGTCAGTGGCACTATGGTATATCACAGGCATGAACTGTGACCAGTGGCTACCTGGAATGTGCCTTTAATCTGAACAGCTATGTTAAGATTTAGAAATAGGTTGGTAGTATCATAAAGTATATGAAAGATTATATTATATTTAGCTGAAACATGCAAAAACAGTGCCTCTTATAAGGCAATCCAACAGCAGTTTTATGAGACATAAAGAAGCAAAAGTGTTCCTGCAAATGCCTCAATATGTGGCCTCTTCCCCTACTGTCGTCTACAGAACGTGGCATTAGTAGCTGAATGATTTTGTTTGACTTTATTCCCTGCATGCCCTTTATAAATTCATTTTGTCCTGTCTCTCCTTTGGTACATCTCTTTTTTTTTTTTTTTTACAGCTACCTGTAAAAGACTTTCCTGTCGTTCTGTTCTCCTGCCACCCACCACCCTCTGCGGACCACTCTTTTGTTTGTGAGATGCTGTTATCAGCTGGGCTAATCTCTACAAAAAGGGCACTGCAGTCACTGCCTACTTGTTTGTTAGTCTGCCCCTTTGTCTGTACACCTGCCTATCTGGAAGTCCTATCTCATCTCTGTGTGTGTTTGGTAGGAGCTGGCTTATGACTGAAAGGCTGTCAGTTCAAAGTAAAAATCCTCTTGCAACACTCTGTATTCACTATTTATCTGTGTATTCGCATAAGTTTTGTATAAGACATGTACTTATTTTGGCAAATTGAAACTCTCTGAGTAAAGATGGTCAAGAGATTTAGAGAGAGACAGTGTTCTCTAGGGTGATCTAATCTACAAGCCATGAATAATTTCCTCAACGCAAGAGGTATGGATGAAAACAGTTCAAACAAATCTGTGTCAGTCATGATAATAACAGTCACATGTTAATAATCATATCAAAAGTAGCTATACTTCAGAAAGCATACATTCCTAACATTCATTATAATCATCATGGTATTCATTCTCCATCAACATCATCAAGTCAAATTAGAGCTGTGATTAGTGATCCGAGAGGAGAGGCGGGCTCACCTGACGTGCACACTCCCAGCCACATGTGTGCAGCCGATAGGGTTTCCGCTGATTGGGAGAAGCCAGAGACAACCGTGGATAGTCCCAGGAATGTGTTCTGGGTGGCTTGGGGCTTAAAAAAGGGACATATCCACCCGCTGTCTGTCACTTTTCCCTCATAAACGAAAAAACCTTTGTGTGAATAACATGGGATAAACTACAGTGACTGGGGTTTGAGGGGCTTGTTTGCACCATATGCAGAGGAAAGTTATAGGACAGGATGTGACGCTGATTTGCTGTTTGTGTTTTTCTTTCATAAGGCAAATCTGAAACGCTGACAGAGAGAGAGAGAGAGA